GTTTTTCTCTGGTACCGGGAACCGAACTCACGACCTTGCGCTTGCCAGGCAGGCGCTTTTTGCCGCTGAGCTAAATCCCCAGCCCCCTGGTTTTGCCTTCTTGAGACAGGGTCTTACTATGTAGTTCAGGCCAGCCTCCAACTGGGAGCAATCCTCCTGCCTCAGCCTCCCAACTGCTGGGATACAGGTGTGCACCTCCATGCCCAGCCTTGGAGTATCTTTTCTTCGGCGCCTGTGGGACCCCTGTCTGGGTCTCTCCCAGAGCTTTTTTTTTTTTTTTTTTTTTTTTTGAGACATTTTGTCACTCTGCAGTTCAGGCAGGACTTGAGCTCACTTTGTAGCCCAGGCTGGTCTCGAACTTTCAGTGATCTTCCTGCCTCAGCCTCCTGAGTGCTGGGACTACAGGTGTGCGCCACCACGCCGGGCGACTCTCCCAGTGCTTTTGCACACTGTGTACAGTTTTCTGTCTCTGCATGGGATTCTCTGTGACGCCCCTTTTTCTACCTTCTGTTTATTTTGTCCATTGAGAGTTTACCTCTTCTACTGATTTTTCAAATTTTGATGAATATCTTGTTCACTTTCAAGGTTTATAATTTTCTTTTTTGGTATTCACCTATTTTGTTTGTTTCTGTTTATAATATCCCATTTTTTCTAGCTGTGATTCCTTGATTTATCTTTTTGAACATCCTAAGCTACTTATTTTAAAGATTCTGTAGTTTGCTGTGGTAGTGTATGCCTGTAATCCAGCACTCTGGGAGGCTGAGGCAGGAGGATCCCAACTTTGAGCTCAGCCTGGGCAACTAGATGACTTAGCGAAACCATTTCAAAATAACCTTAAAAAGAGCTGGGGATGAGCTCAGTGTAAAGGCCCTGAGTGTGCCCCCCCCCCCACAAAAAAAGAGATTTTTAAAGCTGATTCCATCCATTTAATTTTACCTGGAGTGAATTCGTGCTCTGGAGGAGACTCTACGTGTCTTGAGTAGCTTCCTCCTTCCTGAATCATGCTCCTGCATTCATACTTTTATTTTGGTCTTGGGGCGGGGGGTCGGGTGGGCGGAGGAGGTTTTCTGCCTGGGTTCTGGGTGTGTTGCTTTGCATTTTTGGTCTTCATCTGTTTCCGGGCAGACCCTGCAATCTGATGATAAGCCTGTCTTTTGTATGCTAACGAGAAGGCTCTGGTCCCTGGACAGCCTCAGGATGGGAGTGGGTGAGAAGGCCACGCTGTCACCGCCAGGAATCTAATCAATCACGTTGACGCACTGACGTTTCCAGTAAAAAACAACAACAAAGAAAACTGGGCTTGAGGGCACTTCAGCAGCTGAACAGCAGGGCTCAGAAAGGACAGGTCGCTCTGTGCGCACGTGCCTCACCTACCCAGTGTTCCATCTAGCTGTTCATCTATATATTTGGGAGATTTTTCTTGAGACAGGGGCTTGCTACGTAGGTCAGGGTGGTTGTGAACTGGCTATGCAGCCCAGGCTGTCCTCAAACTCACAGCAATCCTCCTGCCTCAGCCTCCTAAGTACTGGGATTATAGGCGTGTGACATCATGCCTGGCTTCTGTAATATTCTTTACACTAGACTAGAAAATGCAAGTTAAGGATTTCCCTAAATTCTGGGAGCCACTCTCAGAAGTTAATCAAACTCAAGGAGGCGGGTGTGGGACCTGGGTTTATAGCTTGTCAGTAGGAAGCATAGGTCACAAAGAGGCTTGCAACTGGTATCTGTTTGTTTGTTTGTTCATCTTTTTTGAGACAGGGTCTCGCTGTGCAGTTCAGGCTGGCCTTGAGCTCACTTTGTAGCCCAGGCTGGTCTTGAACTCCCAATGATCCTCCTGCCTCAGCCTCCCGAGTGCTGGGATTACAGGCGTGCACCGCCATGCCCAGCAAGCAGCTAGCATCTGAAGTGGGCAACAGTCTGCTGAGACCAAGCCCTCCGTCTGGGAGGCCTGGCACCATCCGCCTGGAGTCAGCAGCAGCGCCGGACAAGACCGCACTCGGCTGGCATCTGCTGGAGAACAGAGTGCTTGGCTGGCTGGCGCTGAGTGACCACCGAGGGAGAGCTGAGGGTGGGGGCACAGTCTGGTTTCTTCTCTTACGGCCTTCTCTGAAGTGACCCAAACTGTGCCCGTGCTGTTGGGCATGAAACTGATAACTGCGCTTCTCCCCAGCTTGGGTCCCGGACTCAGAAACTGGAAACAACCGTGTGTCCTGGGAGCAGCAGCACATGACACGTGCCAGCCCCGAGCCCGAGCGCAGGGGCCGGGCCTCATGTCCCGCCATGGCCTGCACAGCCCCAGGTGCTTGGGAATAAGAGGGTGTTTTACTCCCAAGCGTGTTGTGGCGGTAGCTGGAAATAGGTTATATTTGATTGTAGTCATTTTCTTTACTTTTTTTTGTCTTTTTGAGACAGGGTCTCACTATGCGGTTCAGGCTGGCCTTGAACTCACTTTGTAGCCCAGGCTGGTCTCGAACTCACAACAATCCTCCTGCCTCAGCCTCCTGAGTGCTGGGATTACAGGTGTGCGCCACCATGCCCGGCTTCTTTACGTTTTGAGACTTTGAATGTGCAGCTTTTTGTTTGTGCTCTTCTTTCGTCTCCCCACCGGGCCAGGTGGGCCTCCCGGGCCGAGTCTTGTTTGTTCTGTTTTCGGTACTGGGGGTTGAACACAGGGCCTTTGCACTATATCCCAGCCCTTTTTTATTTTTATTTTGAGACAGGCCCTCTCTGAATCACTAACTTGCCCAGGCTGGACTCCAACTTGTGATCCTCCCGCCCCAGCCTCCCAGCGGGCTGGGATTACCAGCGTGCACCACTTCACTGGCTGTATATTGATTTTTCCAATCCTTCTGGGGTAATCCTGGGAAGAGTCCCATCTGGCCCTTGAGCCACAGGCGGCCTTGGCTCCGGGCTGGCTGGGAGCCGTGCTCGAGTCTTCCTGTCTGTGCAGGCAGGGAGCTCACGCCAGGCGGAGGCCTGGTGGCTGGAGATCACAGCTCTTCCCTGATGCCGTCACCCGGGAGTCAGAGGCAGCCAGGGCTCCTGGGGTTGAGCTCATGGTCCTGCCTCACCTAAGATTCTCTGAGTCCTTACCAACTCTACCCGCACCAACTCTACTCCTGCCTGCTTCTGGACCCACTCCCAACTCTAGACCCGCGCCCTGCACGCCGAAGCCCCTCCTGCTCCCCAGGTGCTCTTCCGCATCTGACCCAATGTTCTGGTTTCCTGGAGACAGCAGGTGTTTGTTTGTTTTGAGACTGGGTCTCATCATATAGTTCAGGCTGGCCTTGAACTCAAGGCGATCCTCCTGCCTCAGCCTCCCAAGTGGTAGGATTACAAGCATGTGCCTCCGCTCCACAAAGCCCCTCTCTTGTATCCTGCGCTCCACAGGCTGACATCATATGTAGGCTGTCCTGTCAAAAACCTGCTTGACTTCACAACAGAAGAACTGAAGAGCCGGGCATGGTGGCACATGCTTGTAATCCCAGCACTGGGGAGGCTGAGGCAGGAGGATTGCTGTGAGTTCGAGGACAGCCTGGGATACAAAGTGAGTTCAAGGCCAGCCTGAACTACATAGTGAGACCCTGTCTCAAAAAAATAAAAACAAACAACAATAAACCAAACAAAAAATTGAAGACAGCACTTCCCGATTAGTCGCAGATGCAGGGGTTGGAGCTGTTTTTCTGCACATGAGCGGTGGACATCCGTGACCATGCCTCCTTGCCACGCCCTTACCTCCTGCCTCCTTCCTGCCTCAGCCCCATGAGTGTGCGATTAGACTTGGGCACCACCCTGGACTCTTTCTCATCGGCTCTGCCTGTGCTTCCAGCCTGCCTGTCGGTCTCCACCCGCTCTGTGCAGTAAATTCCACCCGGCACGCGTCGCTGCGCTGCTCCGCACCCTGAGGGTTCACGGCTCGAGACCGAGCGAAGCCCAGCTCCGCAGGGCAGGAGGACTCGGGCGCGGGTCAGCCTCAGCGGCACCCTCTCTCGGCGCACAGAACCGACCCCTCACGCAGGGTTCCCGGCCGCCCCACCCGCTGCTGGCTCTGCCCTTCTTTCCACGCACTTCGCGCCCACGGAAATCCCTTCTCCTCCTCCACCACCGCCCATCGCACCCTCCACCCTCACTCCCGCTCCCACGGCGCCGGGCCGATCTTCCAGACCCGAGACCATGTCCGCTGGAAGTCGCCGCGTGCCCGCCTCTGCCCACAGGGCCTTCAGGAGCCTGAGGCGACACTTCTCCCACAGGACCTGCGACACTAAAGAGCACTTAGCATGTAGCTTTGGATTTCCATCAAGACTATAACCTCCTTGAGTGATTTTTTTTTTTTTTTTTCGTTTTTGTGCTTCATCTCTAGTCCTTTTTAGTTAAAAAAGAATTTTTTTTAAGCAAAGTCTAGTTAAATTGCCTAGGCTGGGTTTGAACTTGCCATCCTCCTGCCTCAGCCTCACAAGAGTACTGAGATTATTGGTGCATGCTACCATGCCTGCCTAGAGAGAGCAGATCTCTTTTTCTTTTTAAATATCTTTCTCAGTGTCAGATATTGAGAAAGAAAAAGAGATCTGCTCCGACATACAGCCAGTACCTAGTGAATCTGTGCAGTATTTTCAGGTTGGAGGAAGTGTAGCTGGCTTTCCCACTAGCTCTGTTTCCGCATGCTGGACTTGGGGGCTTAGGCTGAGGGACCCTTTAGGGTGCTTCTCGGCTCTGCATTCCGCTGTTGTTATGCTTCAAATGCATATTTTACCTGTAAGTGCCCCCAGGCACCCTTTATAGATCCTATTGGTAAATCTCTGTTTCACAATCAAAATATAAATTTTTGTGTTGGAACTGGGAATCGAACTCAGGACCTCGGGCTTGCCAGGCAGGCACCGTGCTGCTGAGCTATACCCCGGCCCCTCTCAAAATATAAAACAGATGATTGCTTTAATAAATGCCTCTAGTTTATCCTGGTTTTGTTTGACTTTGGGTTGTTTCAGGGTAAAGAGAGAACACCAAAGAATGTCATCAGGTAAAATACACCTTGCTGCAAATTTATTTTATACACAATTACCCTTGACATTTGAAGTGTTTTTATATTTGAAAGTTTGAATTTTTGTGGTACTATTGTTTTAAGGGGTCAAAACCTGTTCCGTGGAGACTTAGCGAGTGTAGTGTAATTGAAATACTTTAGAAAATTCATTTCAGCCTCACCTGGTTTGGCTACCCCGGACTTTTCAGATGATTCACGTTTCAGATTTCAAGCCCTGGAAATGCTATGAAATCTAAGCAAACTGTAAGTGTGGTTTGGGTCACTCACAGCCACCCCCCCCCCCATCTGTTCCAGCCCTCAGGGTCTTAGTGTGCACTGAGGGAAAGAAGCAATTAAACAATAAACATACCAGGGGTAAGAGCTGGTGAATTAAGACGCTTTGGCTGGGTGTGGTGGTGCATGCCTGTAATCCCAGCACTCAGGAGGCTGAGGCAGGAGGATCATTGTGAGTTCGAGACCAGCCTGGGCTACAAAGTGAGCTCAAGGCCAGTCTGAACTGCATAGCGAGACCCTGTCTCAAAAAGACCAAAAACAAAACAACAAAAAAGACACTTTTAAGCGTGTAAGTAACAGAAGAGCCAACCCCAATTCAGTAACAGCAAAAGCAGTTCACAGACCCCTGTGACACTCAGAGGCAGCTTCAGCCACACTGGCTCCAGGCAGTGCGAAGCTCAGGACCAGACCCGGTCCTTCTTCCTCTTCCTTGCTCAGCTGTGGTCCTATACTGTAGGCCACTTTGTCCTTGGAATGCTCTACGGAGTCCGCTAGTGCCGAGCAACTCCTGAAGCTACATCATTCACACATAGTGGGCAAGACGTGTCCCAGGATACTAGCAAAAGTTTCAAGGTTTGTTCTGATTGGGTCAGCCTAGGGTATGTGTCTACCCTGGACCAATCACTGTGACCAGCGAGAAGGAGCATGTTAATTGGTTTAGCCTACATTGTGTGTTTCATTCCTGGGTCCAGGGATGAAGACTGT